CCCCCCTCCCCAAATCCCCACCAGGCCATGGACCCCTCGGGGACCCCATCGGTGCCGCTGATGATCGGCTGGGGTGTCTCCTGCATGGCCCTGCTGACCCTGCTGGTGATCTACGCTGCCTTCTGGAGGTGACCCAGGGACAGCTGGGGACATGGGGGCACCTAGGGAGGGGGCAGCGAGGGGGGCACCGCACCGACTCAAAGTTGAGCATCAGTAAATGTAACGTGGGAGGAGAACAACCCCAGTGGCAGCTGGGGGGAGAGAGGTGCCTGGGCTGTCAGGCACTGTCCCCGGCCCAGGACAGCACCCACCTGCCACCAGCATGTGGGGGACATGGGACAGGGAAGGGACAGGCTGTCACCCCAGCCCGATGCTGCTCCTGCCTGCAGGTTCATCAAGTCAGAACGCTCCATCATCCTCCTCAACTTCTGCGTCTCCATCCTGGCCTCCAACGTCCTCATCCTCGTGGGCCAGTCCCAGATGCTCAGCAAGGTGGGTGCCACTGCCATGTCCTGCTCACAGCGGCTGTGGGGGGGTCCGAGTCCTCTCTTTCTGGCTGGTCACCTCATCCCTACTGGCTCCAGGCAGCAGATTGGATTTGGATTAACTCGATCTGGGGATTCAATCCTTTGCACTAGAGGCTTTGACACAAACCTCACCCGGGCATGGGCATTTAACCTCCACAGTGCCAGGCGTGTGGTCATGCCAGGATACCTCTCCCAATGTTCCTGTGTCCCTGCAGGGTGTGTGCACCATGACAGCTGCCTTCCTCCACTTCTTCTTCCTCTCATCCTTCTGCTGGGTGCTGACAGAAGCCTGGCAGTCCTACCTGGCAGTGATCGGCCGGATCCGGACACGCCTGGTCAGGAAGCGCTTCCTCTGCCTGGGATGGGGTAAGAGCCTGGTAGGGCTGGTCCCGGGATGGGGGGGAGGGAAGAAACCATGCACTCCTCCCTGGTACCCTGCAGGGTTATCAGAAGGGGAAACTGAGGCACAGAGGAGGAAAGCAGAGCCAAGTGTCTTGGTCCTTTCAACAATGGCACCCTCTGACCAGCCAGAAAATGGGGACCTGCTAGAAGGGCCCCATC